AAAAAAAAAATGTATATGCTGTGGGACTCCCATCTATGTAACATTTTTGAAACAACAAACAATTCTACATTTATCTGTAGAAATGGTGAACAGAACAGTGGGTGACAGGGGATAGGGCTGGGTTGAGGAGCAAGAGAGAGGTATATGTAGTGATGAAAGAGCAACAGAAAGGATCCTTCTGTTGATGGAAATGTTCTCTTGACTGTAATGATGGAAACACAAACCTACACATGTGATAAAATTATATAGAACAAATACACATACACACAAATAAGTACAAATAAAAGTGGGGAAATCTGAAGATGATTGGTGGATTGCATTCTTGTCAGTATCCTTCTTGTGACACTGTACTATCCTTTTGCAAATGTTCCTGTTCAGAGAAACTGGATAAAGTCTATGGAATCTCTGTACCATTTCTTACAATTGCATGTAAATGAACAATTATCTCAATAAAAATTTCAGTTAAAAATTAGCAAGGGTCTTTCCCTGATTATCAACTTTTTTTAAGTAACTGATTGGAAACCTATCTTGAAATTTCACCATAATTAGAAATAATATAAACCAGCCCTGTCCATAAGCAGTTTCTGTAATGCTGGCAGTATCCTCTATCTCCAAGCCCAACAGAGTGACAGCTAACACATGTAAACATTGAGCACCTTAAAGGTTGCTAGTGCAACTAATGAATTCAATTTCTAATTGCATTGTGATTAATTTAAATTTGCATATAAATGACCACTTGGGACTACTGCCAACCTATGGGACACCACAGAAATGAAACTTGACTTTATAGTCCTCTATTTCCTTGTTCTAAGTACTAAGGAAGAAAACTCATTTCCCACCACTGAACTAATTTATAGACTGAGGCTGGATCCATTTCTTCATTTTTAAAAAGGGGTAAGTAGGTGCATCCCGATGTGTTATTTCAAGTGTAAAATGGGCTGCGATGCTCCCTGACACCTGTACACTGCAAGACCCCGACAAAGGTAAGTTGATGGCCCCACAAGGGTCCAGAGAGGTAACCCCGTGATGACTTAGTAAATGTTTCCTACATTATTGGAAAACCTGGCCAAGGACAAGCCAGCAGCTTTGCTTTCATAGACTAATGGGAGAACTCAACCTGTCATTTTCTTCCAGATTCGTCCACAACTCTACTTCCAAAGGCTTCAGTTCCAACCATATATTTTTTAGACCACCAGGAAAAAAGGCCATACAAATGCCCCATTTCTTCAAGCACAACAGAGATGGTTGAATAGTTGCAGGAACACGAAGAAAAACCATTAGAGAACCAGAGAAGCAGGGATAAGGGGTGAGTTCACACCTAGATGCGTGATCAATAGGAATGGTTCTTCACTGCCAGGCCGGTACCCACCAACACCGACAAGCCTCAGTCCTCAGCTGGCGGTTTTGCAAGGCCAAACAACATAGTTATACTCCTCAGGGGAAGTCTCAGGAGGCCGCCCAACCAGGGCGGGTTTTGCGCCTGCGCGCTCAGCCGCGGGCTGCGGGCGCACATCCTGCGTGCGCGCACCCGGCACCCTCCACGCTTGCGCAGGCTCTCACATAGTCTGCGCAGCTCCAGGGCTTTGGCCTGATCCCTTCTCCGCGCAGGTGCCCCACGAA